CCCTTACTGGTCCAGATTTACTTTGGGAAATCTTTTTCAATGGACATTACGACAATGAACCATTGGCAGCACCATTGGTTGTAGAATAAAATAGAGCGAAAGGAAGACGGTTTTTCTATGTGTGTATGTGTGTGTATGTATGTGTGTGTGGGTATACGCGTTGCGCAAAAAAAAAGGGGCGGAGGGTTCCCTTGGTCCTTGTATAAGCCTGCTTGACTGTACTTTTCACGCCCTTTTTCCACAGCACGACGCAAAATTATTATGTCGTTTCAAGCTCTCTTACTAAACTCCCACCCTTCTCCCTAAATCGGTAGCAACATATAGGTACACATCTGTCTACAAAAATATACAACCACCGAACAAATCCTTCTTACGAAGAGAAGAATAAATAATACCTAGGAGATGCAATTCCTATATTGTTAATTTTGGAATATTAATAATAATAATAATAATAATAATAATAATAATAATAGGAAAATAATGATTACCGTGATATTATAGTTATCGAATAATATACTCTTATCATTTTCATGTTATTATTGTTTAATATTATTCTTAATCGAATATTTTGTATGAAATAGACGAAAGAAATAAACTAACTACTTTTGATACGTATATATAGATAATGTTGTAGAATAAAATTATTGAACATTGTATGTAATACAAAATATAGATATAGATAGGTTTAAGAGATGATTATTATATTAAATTAACTTGTATAACAGCCTTTATTATTGTTTTATCGATATCATACAATTTTCTTGATAGGATGTATAATTACTTTACCATTTCGACAATTGAAATAATCGTTTTATTGAAATTATTCCCGAACATAATTAATCGACAACCTATCCATTGTCCGAATATTATTGTAATTAATAATCCTTTGTTGGAATAATAAAATATTTTGGAGATTGACTGCGTGTGAAACTCGTTTTGAAATATTTCAATTTCTTAGATTAGGTTGATACCATTTTTCACGATCGGACCTTATCTTTCCCATAACTTTGTTTTTTTTTCTTTTTTATTTCACGAGTTGTAACAAACAGCGAGGGAGAAGGACGAAAGGAGGGGTGATAGGATTTAGAAATATTTTAATAACTCTGACGAGATTAATTTAGTTCATTTATCGTTGACTATTCTCCTCGACTTGTCGGCTCTCATAATTTTTCTTTTTGTTTTTCTATCAACGATTTTCTTTACTCGAGATTATTTATACGATAACAAAAAGTATTTGTTATAGCCGCACAAGATAATGTAATCACTTACAACGATTAATAATCATTTTATTCGGAAAAATTGAATTAATTATTATTATTATTATTATTATTATTATTATTATGTTGTTTTTATTTTTATTTTCTTTTTTTCTTTTTCATTTTTTTTTTTTCCTAATCTTTTCATTAAATCGCTATTTAATTATTGTTACTCGTGTCGCTAATTAATTTTAAAGATAGGATTGACTTTTTAGCACAAAAATACATTTTTATAATATTTAATATAATATAA